GACCGAGCAGACTGCCTCGTTGTTCCCCCGCGGAACAACCTGTAGGCTTTTGGTGAGGAGCCCAGCACTTCACCCTCTGTGCCACCAGGGTCTTCTTGGAATGTATGCAGTACTCAGTAAATCTATTTAGTTATAAACTAGGAAGTTGTTTTTTTGGTTGTGTGGGTTTTTTGTTTGTTTTTTAGAGAACTTGCTTCATTTAATTAGACGTAGTAAAAGCGGTTAAAAGCATGACTTGTTTGGAAAAAAAATTTGATAATGTAATTAGGATTTAGTAAAGGCAAATGCTGCATTGCATTGTTTCTTTCATTACTATTTAGTGCTGATTAGTTATTTTTTCTTTCTCAAAAGGTTGATAAAGAGAATTTACTCCGCTTTTTACAAATTCATTGCTCCCCTTTACTGATGTGTTCTGACCATATGTCTTCAGCCAGAAGTAGTTCTCTTTTACGACCTCCACCCCCTACTCCCCACCCTCCAACCTCAACTAAACTAAACTGCTTTGGACAGAAGCAGGCAACCTTTTTGCTATTAGGTTTCTGTGAAGCCAGGCCAGAGAGCTTTAAAAGTATTTCGACCGGAGTGGTTTAGTAGTCTGGTTATGTTTCAGTATGTTTTGACTTTGTTACTAGCTTGAGTAACATCTTGGATTTTCAGGGTATTTTCTCACACTGCACCTCAGGACACAATGATTCCTGTATTAGGGTATGCTCAGACTAACAAATGCATCTTCCCCCAACTGCAGTATAGACCATTTTCCATTTAGGTGCACTTTCCCTGCTCAAAAATTGATCTTGTTGTGGCTTTATTGGCATATGTTAGGATGATTGCTCCTTTCTTGGACTTGCTGTCTCCTAGCTGTATTATGAATTTTTACATTTTAAAAATACGCTGTGTAAAATTTGAAACAATTTCAAATTGAAATGTGAAAACAAAAAAGTTGCAAGTACAACGCACTTTGCCTTTTGCAGCCTGAAACACTTGAGAGTACCTTGCCCACCTGTTGTTCCCTCATCCTCAAAGAAAAGGACCTTCTTTTACATAGCCACACATTGTCCATGCCGATCGGAAAGTTAGCACTGGTGATCCACTGCCTTCTAATCCTCTTAAGACGACTCTGAACACTAGTCAGATGACAAAAAATAACACTCGAGTGCTCTGCTGTGCATAAACGATCACGGTATTTCACAGTTGAGAGACAGTCTAAGTGCATAGAATCAGAAAACGGTTTCTTAGAATTGATAGTAAAAGTAATTATAAATTAAGTTGTTGAGGCTGCCCATGAGTCCATGATCCTGGCACTGCCATCCAAATGTGTGCCTGCCCTCAGATGGATCCTGTGTATGTGAGCTTTCTGGTGACCGACTGACCACTGACCAGCAGACAACACCCCTGCCACCCCCTTCCCGGCTTGCAGCTGATTGGGTGTAACTATAGAGACCCCGCCAGTACCAGAGTAGGACCGGCTCCATAGGGTTTCTGTGGATGACTTTTGGGAAATAGATCTCTGGCCTTCTGGGTGAACTGGAACCCCTACAGCTGGTTAGCAGCAGCGTGTGCCTTAATGGTGTGCACCCCTGTGTAATGCTGGCACTTTACCTTGTGGTTGACTCGGGAACTTTTCTTTCTTTCTTTCTTTCTT